GCGTTTGGGTCCCACCGGTTATAGATCTCCCCACAGGGGTTAAATTTGGTCCGTGAACGGTTTTCGCAGTACAATCGGGGTTCGTGCAGCTTGTTCAACTCCCAACGGGTTCACCGGGCTCTTGGAGATGCGTTTGAAAGTCCAACGGGTTTTCGTTCCCAGCGTGTTCAGACTTCCAACAGGGGTGATGCGGTCATCCCAAGGAGTTTGGGGTCCCAATGGGCTAAAGCGCTCCTTGGACGGCGTTTGACGTCCAACGGGGTTGGGTCCAGCCTGTACGACATCCTCATCCAACGGGTTCGACATCCAACGGGTTTGGGTCCAGCATGTTCGACTACCAACGGGTTAATGCGCTCCTGGGACGGGTTTGACGTCCAACGGGTTTGACGTCCAACGGGTTTGACGTCCAACGGGTTGGGTCCAACGGGTTCGACGTCCAACGGGTTGATGGATTCATCCAACGGGTTCGGGTCCAATGGGTTAATGCGCTCCTTGGACGGGTTCGACATCCAACGGGTTTGGGTCCGGCGTGTTCGACTTCCAACGGGTTAATGCGCTCATCCAACGGCTTCGACGTCCAACGGGTTTGACGTCCAACGGCTTGGGTCCAGCGTGTTCGACTAATGTTTGTTTTTCTGTGTTTAAAATCACTCCAGAATGAACCCTTTCAGTTTTTTTATATATTTTGCTATTTTTATTTACTTTGTTGATCTCATTCTGTACCTGCATATGGTTTTGTGATGACATCCAACCCTGACTGAGACATGGAGTCCAGCTGTGTTGGGTCTGTCAGTGCTTGTACATGCTCCGTATAGTTCCTCCAACATACTGACATTCAGATTGCCGCCAACACATGTAGCCATTGTGGATGAGCGGCTCATGTATTGGTTTGTTCAATTCTGTGGATAATATCAACTGGCTGAGATCATGCGCGATATGATCCCACTGTTGAATTATCTGCTTGATACTCTGTGTGGCTGTATACTTTAACTGATGAGTTGAACCCTTCAAATGCCGTTCAATTTCTGTTGGCCATACTGCATACTTGCATAGACGGCATATGGGGATGGGGTATGATTCACACTGAATGAAAAATTGATATTCCATCTTAATGAAGTCAGTGTATTCGTGAGTTGATATATATATATATATACATATATTCTTGGAAAATGAAGTATAAACACACTTCACTCGACAATGATAATTTGCTCTAAATTTAAGTTTTGTAATGCTTCTAAGCAATTGCAGATCAATACTTAAATGTATGATGTTAATTTCTGTCTGATTGTTATTTCCATGATCTGTGACCGTTTTGATGATGGTAGTTGCCCTGGGGCGAAATATATATATTTAATATTGATAACTCTGCAAAACAACTTATCTCCCTTAATGTTGTAATAATACGCTTTTCTGACGAAATTATGTCTTGAAATTAAATATCATACTCTGTATATATAATATAACTGGCTCCTGAGGATCTTGTGGGGCCGCGGTAGAGCGGACCCCAGTGCAGGGCACGGCGGAA